CCGGGGCCAGCGGATGGCACAGCGATTACGTTGCTGGACTCCCACATGGCCGACCACTGTTCGAGTCTTGGACTTGGTGCTTAAAATGCATGATGGGCACAGGTGCATGTGTGCCTCAGATCCCAGGAGAATGGAGGAGAAGGGATTGCAGTGTGGCCAACCCCTGGGGGATGACTTCTCACTTTCCCTCTCACTGTCTCTGTCTCTTTCTCTCTTTAGCAAGCACACATGCCTTAAGGCAAAAAGGCAAAAACTTTTTTTTTTCCTGAGAAATAGATTTTTGCTATAGGGTATGTACACTCACCAGAGAGAGAGAGACAGAGAGACAGAAAGTGAGAAATCTCCCCACCCCTGACAGGGGGATGGCTATGCCACAATCCCTTCTCCTCCATTCTCCTCTTGGGATTTGGGACACCCAGGCACTCATCTGATGTGAGTTTGAAGCCGCTGGGTCTGGGACTCAAACTGCGGTTGACTACGTGAGAGTCCAGTGATGAAACCGTTACACCATCTGCTGGTCTCAGGGCAAAATCCTCTCTAGCAAACAAAACAAAACAAAAACCAGCACTTTGCCCAACAATTTGGTTTCCAAGGATATATCTTAAAAGAAACATACGTGTAGCCTGAAATGACTCCACTGATGCAGGCATTTATTAATTTACCCGACATTCAATAAATTGTTCATCGAGCACCTGCCACATGCCAGCCCCACTTCAATGCTCTGGAGACACAGAGGCGAACAAAGCAGATAAAATCCTTGTGGAATTTTCATTTCATTGGTGGAAGATAAATAAAACAAATAAGATAGAATGTATCAGGAGGTCATATATGTACTAGGGGACTTCAAAATGTCCAGGGAAAACTAGAATTAGAGTATGAATTTAGTAGTTAAGGTTTTTGCGATAGGGTGTGTGTGTTTGCTGGAGGGAGAGACAGTGAGAGGGAAAGTGAGAAATCACCCACTCCAGATGACCACACCACAGTCCCCTCTCCTCCACTGCCCTCCTGGATCCTGGGAATGCACGCACACACACCCAGCATGAGTTTCCAGCACCAAGTTCGGGACTTGGAACCGCGGTGGACCATGTGGAAGTCCAGCGCCTCAACCGTTACACCACCTGCTGGTCACAGAGTATGAGTTTATTTTGGTGCAAAAAATGGAAGCCTTGCATAGTTTTTTCATGATACATGTTTTCCACGAACCTTCTGAGGCCCCCCCTTGTATTATGGAGAAAAAGCAGAGAAGGGAGGAGAGCGTGTCTGTGTGTGATTGCTATTAGGAATAAATAATCACGTCAAGCAGAAGAGTTGTTGAGAAGGTGACGCCTGGGAAAGACGTTCCAGGTGGCGGGAACAGCCGGAGCCAAGGCTGGGTGGAGACGGGCTTTGTGCACTGGAAAATCGACCCAGAGCGGAGTGTGGGGGGCGGTGAGTAACAAGATAGGTAACCAGACCAGAGAGGGAGGGGGTGTGGGAGGGGGCTGGAAGGGGCAGCATTATTGAGTGGCCATGGTGGCACATGGGGACAGGGAGGGGGCCGGTGGTGCCAGAGCAGAGCACCCTTTGCTTAGAGCAGGGTGAGGGGAGATGAAGAGGCAGGTGGGGGCCAGTGGGTGCACGGACTTGCGGACCACGCCAAGGACACAGGGTTTTATTCACGATGTGACGAGAAGCCTCTGGGAGGTTATGATGACAAAGTGACATATCAGGCTGACGGTCTGACTGGCCCCGCTGGCCAGGGTGTGGAGAGAGCCAAAAGAGACCCCACGCAGCACAGGGAGCCTGGAGGCCGCTGCAGGAAGTAGGTGAGGACAACAGTGGAGGGGCTGGGTTGCAGCAGTGCAGGGCTGAGACGTGTGTATCTGCCATCTCTTCTGAAGGCAGAGCCCAGGGACTGCAACAGGTATTCGTTCCAGCCTGTTAGTGATAGCGAAAGCTTGTTGAATGCTCGGGAGTCACCTAAACCCTCAGTTGCCTGGGATGGCATCGCCCCGTACGAAGGAGAGAGTTGTAGGTCCCGACAGGAGGAGGAAGTGCCTCGTGTGTTAATCCAGAATGCTTTCCAAGACGCGAAGCACAAGAAGCAAGGTGCAGAGCAGTGTGTACGGGATGCTGCTATTCGTGTGGGGTAAAATGAAGCGAAACACACACACACACACACACACACACACACACGAGCCCTGCAAGTACGTGCACTTGGTGAGCACTGAGGCTACTGCCAGCAGCCGTGTGTGTGTGTGTGTGTGTGTGTGTGTGTGTGTGTGTTTGCTATGACCTCTGGGAGGATACACAAAATACTGGTGGCAGTGGGTGCCTCTAGAATTATAAGAGCAATTTCGCTTTTCACGGTACCTTCAGAGTTTGGGTTTTGTATCTCTTCCAGTGTTTCTCGGAGGGGCTGACTTTGTCCATGAGGAATACCCGCCAATGTCTAGAGACATTTTTGGTTGTTGTGACTTGGGGGAGGAGCTACTCATACCCAGCAGGTGGAGGCCAGGGTTGTGGCTAAATATCCTGTGACTCACAGGACGCCCCCTGACAAAGAAGGAGTTGGCCCCACATATCAATAAAGGTTGATAGTCTCTGAAATATTAAAAAAACAAAAACAAAAACAAAACATAATGAGGGGCTAGGAGGTGGCATAGTGGTTAAGGCACTGGACTCCTACATAGTCGACCATGGTTCAAGTCCCAGACCCAGTGGCTTGAAAATTGCACTGGGTACATGTGAGCACATGCCCAAAATTCTAAGAGGTGAATAGAAGAGAAGGGATCGTGGCATGGCCCTCTCCCTTGAGGAGTTATTTCTTTCTGTCTCACTGTCTCTCTCTCTGTGTGTCTCTATAGCAAAAACAGAACAAAACAAGACAAAACAAAGCCTTAAAGAAATAATGAAAGTTTTGTGTTTTAAGGCCAGTCTTTTATTCTGATATTGTATTATATATTCTGAGGCACTGAAATCTCTGTCTTTTTTTAATTAGGTGCCAGTGACCGCACGTAGTACCTGGCATTTACTTTGGTAGTATCTTACTTGATAAAGTGCTGGCAGGAGGTATACCCTTCTCCAAACCTAACGAAATTTTATGGGGCTATGAAATTCTAAAGTCTGGAAATTACTCTT